AATAATGCAAGAAATGATTGATTTTAATGGAATTGGGTGTTACAGAAACTAATAGCCTTCATCGATTCCTGACATCTGACTTTACTTTTTTTGCTGTCGTATGACATCTTACTGATAATTTAAAAATTCATAATTTCATTTGTTCAATTTCAATTCTCCTCTTTTTATTTGGAAAATAAAAAAAGTGTCGAAATCGAAAATTAAAAACAAAAATGATGCGATGCAATAACAAGTTATCAAAACGAAAAATTTTAAAACGATGAAAAGAGGACCAACAAAATGATGACAATAGCAAACTAAATCAAAATCATGCAAACATTAGTGAAAGTGTACATTGCAGCAAGGCGTTTCTATTTTTTATTCGTCGATATATCAGAAGGAAATTATTTCCAACCGATTGATTTCGTCATCGCTTTCTTCATCTGCAGATGAAGCAACCTATCTTCTTATTGTTGGGTCTAAATATTTTACTAAAATAATAACAGTTCAACGTCACCAAACAAAATCCAAAAAATCCCAGGTCAAAAAACCTCTCTGTTCCTTTTTCTTCCTGCCTCTTTTTCCTACTCCATATTAATCAATTCAGTGATAATACACCTAAAACCGATATAAAAAATCCATAAACTTAAAGAATAATGTATGAAGATCTTGTAATTCTAAATTACTTTAGAGAAACTGTTTCAAGAAACAGATTTGGCAGCATGGATTCAGACAATTAACATCCAGTAGTACTGAAGGAAAAATGTGAAAGGTTTGAAAATTATGTCATAAATTAGAAAATAAGTTGCATGCAACGAAAAAAAATCATGTAAAATGTACTTACTATCTAATAAGAGCAAGTGTGTGTATTTCTCTAAGAAATGAAATACTTTGAAAATTGATAAAATGATTTCTACTATTTCGGTATGGTAAATGCAGGTTCACTGATTCAAAATCTAACGGCTTATCTGTGGTAAGCAAATGAAAGAAGTCAGTAAAAATTTTAACGCTCAAACTTGATGGAAAATTGAAAAATCTGCATAGGGACATGTAATTGCAAAAAGAAGCAGGGACAATCGAACGGATGGGGAGAAAGACAACCTATTTTCAGGTAGCAAGTATGAAAGGAATTTTTTTAATATCTTCAACTCTCGAATATCTAAGTGAATCAAATTGCTTCACTTAACCAAGCTGTCTTACTCCCCTAGTTAGAAGAATAAATTTTTTAAAAATTTCGAAGAGCTCCACAAAATTTTTATGGATCCTCTCAAATTTTATATCATAACTTGCTGAATGGCAAACAAGTTTGAGGGAAATCAATGGAAAGTATCTACATAGTAGATAAGTGGAAGTGACTACAAATAAACGGCTATAACAACAAGAACGCACGATAAATTACAGAAGCAGTACTCCAACGGATACCACAGCAATATAAGTTGACGGCCATGATCGTTTTACATTATACGCAGGCATTCTGTACGACTGAAAATTTTCTAATATTTTCGAGAACTTTCGAAAGAATGGAATTATACTTGACAATATTTAGAAATGAAAGTATTTTCAATCAAACTATTAAATTTTTTTGGTTTATAAACTACAAATAAAATAAAATTTATATCCACTAATATTAGTGAGAAGTGCTTCTCAATTCCAAAATTACACCAACTATCAAATTTTTCAACTTCTTACAATTTGATTTTTTTCATAAAGTCCATAACTTTTTCCAAACTTTGTTAAAACTTGTTTTAGTGAAGTGCTGTCAACGAAATTTTTTCCTTTTTTCCAAAATCACACGCTTCGAATCCTAATTCTAGGAGTAAAAGCAAGCGACGAATCACAATTCAAAGAACATTATACAAATATCACATATTGCCGTGCTTTTCCCCCACTCTGCCAATCAAATACATAACTGACTCCAAAACGGTTATCTATTCAAGAACTAACAATTTGAGAGATGGAACTCTCTACTTTACCCAAAAACAGGCTCGGGAAGTATGCAAAGCTCGCAAAAAAGAAAATTTCAAGCGACAAGCAGTGGAAAAATCATGCTATTAAATGGAACAGTCGAATATTATTGTTCTGTTAGTGCATTTCTTTATCCATGTGTGTTAACAACACGAACAATAAAATGTATCGCAAAAATAAAGAAAAAAATCTTATTTAAAACTGCTAACCAGGAGGAAGGGTGGATTTTGTCGTAGGGTTAGCGTCTGGCCTTTTAATTTCAATCTCGCGCTCGAATTTTTCTAATTTCGATGAAAATGTCAACCGTTCGGGATTCGGAGTAGACGACCAAAACGACGTGGATGGAGATGAGGACTGAAAACGGATTCTTTTTATTCCATCTTAGTTTTACGAACTAAAATTTGAAACATTTCAGAGAGTTCATCTACGGTTAATCCACTTCTTACTTTAAAATTTGACAGAGCAGAATATTTCATTTCTGCCTTAAAAGATCACTCCCTTCTGCAAAAATTATATTTTAGAAAGCTTTTAGTAAGTAACGATTCGAGCGATTAGAAAGATGTAAAGATGCCCACAAAAAATGTTTGGCTATACTGCCAGGAATTTAAATAAGTAGAATATGACATGATTTTCCAGAAAAAAAGACCTGCACTGACGAAACTGTACGTTCTTTTTGTTTTTCAAATTGTTCATCAAAAGAAGTAAGCGGTGAAGATGCACCCACTGCATTACCATTCTACGAATAAATATAATTAAATTGCAGCAAAATTTTGGAAAGTATCTTAGTCGAAGAAATTTTCATCTTGTATTTTTTAAGCATATTAACTGATAGTTTGAATCTATGCCAGCCTAGTTGTACTGACAGTTCAGCTCTTCCTTTAATTATAAAAAATTGGGTTACTATTGATGAGTTTGTTTTCATCCTGCAATACTCCATATAAATTCTCTATTAAAGAAGTATCATTCATGCAAGAAACGCCAGAATTACAGTTACAACCGTTTGTGACAGATTTTGGTAAGTGTTATTCTGATTTGTTAAGATGGGACATCAGCAATAAGCGCCAATATCCACGTTGTTTATGGATCCATATATATATATATATATATATATATATATATAGTAGAAGAAACATAGAATAAGG